GTTTTCATTTTTTTCTCGAGCGACTCAAGTTGTTCGGAAGACGTCAAGTGTTGAACTTCGGTTTTAATTCACCACAAAAAAGTAAGATACTGGTAATATTATTGTATTTACTCAACTAGCTAGCTCGGTAGGTATTATGTATTTATTACAGAGAGAAACGCATATACAGAGAAACGATTATGACGTCGCCCTCGACATTAATGACGTTATATTTTAAATAGGGTTTTAAACTATCTTTTAGAGTTTGACATTGTTTCTACCCGTTTATATCAATATCAATATCAATCACTAGCATTGCATACGGTCACAGTGTGTGTTGATAAAGATAAAACTGCTTTGATTTACTATCGACGTTACGTCGTCATAAGCTAAGTTAGCTTGACATTTAGCCTCTCATCCCGCCGGTGTGTGTATAATCTCCTTTTTGTGCGCCGGTTTTAAGCTCAGAAGTAAGATGAGTTCACATATTTGTGTTTTTTTTCCCGACCACAACATATAATCATAACGTTCTGCTAACAGTACAGTATAACATCGGTATAATGTTAGAGCATATTCTGTATTCATACAGTATGAATGAGATATGTATTGTATTCAGGTGCTGCACCTGTTGTGACACAAGGCTTCACTTGGATATGCTAACTAATTGATAATAAACTTAGTGTGATTGCATGTAACAAGCACTTATGGCATACTACTTTATTATACACTGAGCTGAAATGTGTTAGAATTTGCTTCTTTACAAATGCTACTTGTATGCAGGTGTTCTTGTAATAGTGAGTTAAAACTGTGCACATTGATATGGTTATATTGTGTAATGAACTGAATTATTATAAACCTAAGCTGGTTTGGTGTACACGTAACTTTTCTTTCTCGATTAATGGCAGATGGCTTCCAAACAGAAGAGGCACAGAGTTATGGGTGATGATGAGTGGATGTCCCGCCTGCGTAGGTTTGCTGCCTCAGGGGTCTGGCCCTCTGAGGCGGGAAACAGGCCGCTACCACGCCGGAAAAAGTGGCATGATCTGTATCTGAAGGTAAACTTGGACAAAGTCATGTGCGCACTGTCATAAAACACAAAGCTATGTCATATTAAAAGGAGACACATTTTTATGAGTCACTGTCAAACAATGTTACGGATTGAGAAATGTCCGATGCAGCTGAGGGGACAAATGTCTCTGTTCGGAGGGACACAGACCTGTAACTGTGGTTTCCATACACACAAGGTACCAGAAGTCTCTCATAAAGTTATGAAGTGTTGGTGTTGTATTCTGTACTCTGTAAAATTTCACTTTCTTGTCTGTGAACCTCTGGCCTTCCAGCTCTGTCCCTGTGTCATCTTTGGGGACACCACAACCAGGACCCTCATCTGCATCAACATCTTCTTTGTCACCCACCGTAACGCCTGGACGGACACCTCAAAAGCCCATTTTGATTTTGACATCGGTAAGTGATGAGGATTTGCTTATGCTGATACTTATATAATTGATATATTTAACTATACAAAATGTACAGGACTCCACTTAAGGTTACCTTTTTCTTTTTGTCAGTTTACAAAGCCACGGTTTGGTGGCTCTCATGGTGCCGCTTTAAAGCCAAACCTGAGTTTGGCTGGGAAGCGTGCAACTAAGGTAATGTAAGGAGAGTGACACAGTTTGAATTAGATTTTGCAATTTACGCACTGTTATTTTTCATGCCTGGGTAACTATAGTGGGATTTTCATTCAGCAAAGATATGTTAAATGATCTGGTCCTATTTACTGTAATACTTAATAATGATAGATTATTTTTATTATAATGTTGTAAACTGTGCTCTTATTCTCTCAGCCCGTCAGTGGAACGTCTGAGTCGTCCAGCACTGTCACAAGTGCGATGGCGAGGAGGACAGCGTCCCCTGCCCGCAGTCCCAGGATGTTGGTTCAGACTGTCTCTCCTCTTTCACTTCCTCCCTCTCCTGCGCCTTCGACCGACTCAACTTCCACCATTCCACTGGCCACTGCCGGAGCTGTAAGAAACTAAATTAAGTTGTTTTCTTCACATTGATATTTAACTACACTTGAAACAAGCATTCTTCATGAGTGGCTTGTAATCATGTCTATATATTTACTTTTTTGAATTATAAATTAGGAAGTGTCATCTGCCGCCTCCTCCTGTATCTCCTCTGGTACCTCCTCTGCTCCTCTCGCTCCTGTGACCTCTGCATCTGCCTCTGCTGGTGTCTCCTCTGCTGCTCCATCTGTGGCTGGTCCTTCAGCCCAGCCTGCACCTGATACTCTGCCACTGGCTGAAGATGTGGAGACTGCTCCTGGGTCAGAGCCTTGCTGGCTGCCCACAAAGCTGATCAAGACCATACCAGCTCAAGATCAGAAATGGATCTCAGCAGCTCTCTGGAAGCACCAGCGGCTGCGCACTGACCTAAAACTGTGGTATGATCCACCAGAGCCAGCCCTCATTTATCACCAGGCCCCCGATCCAGAGCGCTTTTTCACACACCGCCTTCTCTTGTGGATGCCATACCACCTATGGAAGGTCAGGCTGACCTGTCCTGTGTGTGGAAAACGGCTCACAAGCTACGGAGCCCACAAGAGAGCCCGCCACGTTCTGGATGTCGATAGGTATTACCTGATGATAACAGAGACTCTCTGGTGCAGTGCAGTTGGTTGCAAAACAACTTACCTTTCCACCAGCAAGACTGTCTTGGAACAGCTGGATTTGGCGCACAGGCCGGAGTTCAGACTGATCCTGACTCGAAAGTGAGTATACTGAGATAATTTAGCCTATGTCACAGATGTTTGTCATTGAACACACTACAGATGAGCTGGTTTTAATATTTGTCCCCTTCTTTCTCTCTTAATACAGATACGCTTGTGATACGCGGGTGATTCGCTTTCTGAGGGAGAGGGCCCTCGGTAACAGTCCCACTCGCTTGGTCAGACAACTGAGGGGAAAACCACAGCGAGGAGTGGCTTAAGCACCTCTGCCGATACCTTGGGGCATGCTCGGACTTTGCTGCCCGGCCACGCCTGCTCCCTGTCAAGTTGCATGAACCACCTGAGCCAGTAGATATTCCTTCACACAGGTGGATGCTGGCTGTTTATGGACGTGACATTCTCAGCAGGCTGGACCACATCAAAGCCGGCATAACGTCCACCTTCAGCAGTATCCTAAAAATGGACTCTACAAAGAAGGTAAATATTTTTAACCGTTAACGCCGTAAATTACTACATTATAAACAAAAGTAGTCTAAAATACAGCATTAGCAATGCTGTATTTTAGACCTTTCTACAGAAGTATCTTTCACTTATTCAAACACTAGCATATAATGAAAATACAACAAAGGAACAGAATAGTATTTCAAACAGTTCCATGAAAGCATGCAAACTAATCACTCAGAATTACATTGTTGCAGTACTTTCAATACTTAAATTTATTGGTCTGAAATTTAAAAATAAATATCAAATATATTCTAGCCAAAAGTAAATGCAAAACGTATGTATCTAGGTGTGGTGATTTTTACAAATATTTCTTACATTGCTATATAAAGTTTATTATTATTTCATTATTAATAATAAAATTTTGACATTATGTAAACACTAAACAACACAATGAACTGCTATTTGGCTGTATGGCATTCACAAGAAGTCCCCATCCAATTTGTATCACTTATTAAGTGATATTTGATAGATTTACAATGCTTGGTAATTTTGGGTAGCAACATGTTCCAGTCGGGAACCGAACCGGTGACCTTTTGATCCGCAGTTTCCTATGCCATACTCTAGTTAAGTGTCATGTTTGGTCATATTTCTCAAACTAATGGAGCGTAAACTGTGTCCAATAACTTGTGATGGGCAGCAGAGACACTAATGACTATCAGTTCACTTAATTTCTCTCAATTTTTCCTCTTTTCCTTTATTTTTCTCCTTCCCCTTTCTTTCCTTCTTCTCCCCCCGACCTATACAGACTGTTGTTCCGCAGCTTTAGCAGAGTTAGATGAGCATCCGGTGTAGAGGCTACAGTCCTCGCTGCGGTTGGCCCCGGTTCGAGTCCCGCATCAGACGGCCCTTGGCTGCATGTCATTCCCCCTCTCTCTGCCTCCCCATTTCCTGTCTCTCTCTACTGCACTATCAATAAAGGCACAAAAAAAGCCCCCCCAAAAAAAAAAAAAAACGTCAGTTTAATAAGGCATAAAAAGTCATAAAAATGTCATTGTATAGTAAGGTATAAAAACGTCATAGTATAGTAATGCATAAAAATATCAAAAAATATTATAGTAACGTATAAAAATGTCAGTACAGTAATGCATGAATTGTCATAAAAACGTCATAGCACAGTAAGGCATAAAAATGTCATAGAATAGTAAGTCATATGAATGTCATAGTCCAGTAAGGCATAAAAATATAACAGTATAGCAAGGCATAACAACTTCAAAAAATTGCATAGTATAGTAAGGCATAAAATTGTTGAAAAATGTCATAGTATAGTAACGCATAAAAAGTCATACTATACTAAGGCATAAAAACAGTCATGGTACAGTGAGGCAGTAGAGTCGCCAATAAACCATGCATGTGTTTAGATTGCATGAGAAAGCCACGTGAAAAAGGCATTGTGTTGTCATATTGTTACATTGTATTTTAAGTAGAGAAATGTTTTGTGCAAGTGCAAACCTTTTCCTGTGCCTCCCATTTCCAAATTTCAGCTCCTGTTAAATGACTGTATGAACGTAGGGAAAATTATTATTATATAATAAAACCCCTTCAAATAATTTTTTAACTGGGGGGTTGTACATCTTTATGTTTGGTAAAAGTTTTCTTTATAGTGCACATTTCCCTGCTAGTATTAACAATTCTCCATTTGTTATGATATTCAGGCACAATACAATCTCAGTTTCTGAACTTTGAAGTTGTCTCACAATGAAATCATAATTACAGTGTAGTTACATCTGGAAAGGTAGAAAACTTTGAAGTTTTTTAGAAGGAGGGAGAATAACACACCACCAGACACACATTTTTGGTTTATAGCAATGTTGTCTTTTATTCTAATTTCCAATAAACACAGAATATATCAGTCCCTTATTTGTACAAAAATACCTGAACAGGATACAATGTAGATCCAGGAGCCATACAGACATAATGAAGCAAAGCACAGTAGGGGGATCTGAAGAATGAAAAAAAAGATTACGGTTCATTTGCTCTTTTTTTTTCTTTCCCTGAAATGTTTATTTGCCTTCAACTTATGATGACTTCAACCCCAAAAATAAAACACAACCAACATTGAGTCAGTTTCACTTGCACCTACACTGAGAGTCACCAATGTCGATGGGACTTGTATGCAACATTGACCTGACGTTAGGATTTAGTTCCAGTAGGATTATGTTTCACAGTCACAGCTAACTGTAAATGAACGCAGTGAGTGGACGGACGGCAACAAAGGACTTGTTACTGTTCAGAAACAAGAGGCACCTGCTGCAAGAATAGGCTTAGTTAAGAAAAAGAATTTAAAAAACACTTTGTTATGCACCTTAAAATCAGAGTAAATGGACATAGTGTAATGCACAATCCTCTTGAGCTACAGCGTATAATTAATAGCACTACTTGTGATGAAAGGTGTACAAAAGCTGCTAAGAATATCCCCAAGGGTTAAGTGTTGGTGTGTGTGCTCTTGATGAAAACCCACTGGTGTGTGTGTGTGTGTGTGTGTGTGTGTGTGTGTGTGTGTGTGTGTGTGTGCGTGCACGTGTGTTTAAAGGTGCTATAGGTAAGTTTTATCTGCTGCCGAACGTGGTTTCTTGCCAGGAGAAGGTGGTGGTGATGATGGTTGCTTGCCCAGAGCTTCTGCCATTGTTGCACCCTTTGATCAGCACTATTTCATCATCCTCCCATGCTGAACTAAGGGCAGACTGGACGCTAGGGTGACTCACTATCGCTAAGTAGGATTATGTGACAGGACGGGCTGGGGATAGCTTGTTAGCATGCTAACTTCACTAGAAGAAAAAGAAATAATAGAAATAGAGGCAAAACAACAAGTATAATTGACGTTGCTTTCCACCACTGGTGACAGCTCTTGATTCTAAACTTGTAACGTTTCTTCTAGACTTGTAAGTAAACAGCTGTTGATGTTAACATTGGCTGTGTAGCGATAGAAAAAAGCTTATGTATAGCTCCTTTAAGGTTAATAGCCATCCAAACAATTACTGGAGTGTTTTCTTGAAAGTAAATTAGTGGATTCAGATGTGACAGACAGTCAAAGAGGGGATATTCAAAAGATGTAGTTTTGAAGCAAAATGGCATCAGAATTGGATGCTGCCAGAGGTGAAGACTCTGTCAGCCTGTCAGCTTATATGCACAACTGAAATCCAGTTTGATCTCTTAAAATAAAAAAAAAACAGCTTAATTTAATACTGTATATACTGTGGTATATTCTTCATCTTATATGTGTATATATATATATATATATATATATATATACACATAAGGGTATAAAGGTCATTTGTGGCAAACCAAAGAAAATACACAATATTGTCAATATACACACAATCAAATAATGGAAAAAAAGGACAAAATAAATCATTCTTCATTTTACATGGAGTTATGAGCAAAAGCATAACGCCCCATACATAGTGATCTGTGACCTAGGTACAGTGTTAGATCTACGTCTTCTCCATAGCTTCACATACTTAGAAAACAAATGATACTGTACACTGGTATAGTCTTATACTTGGACTTGTGTATAGGATTGCATTTTAGCACAGTGATTAAAAATGGACAGAGGAGAAGACGGTGATTCGTCCCCCACTGACCCATAGCGATGTGGCTTTTCATCCCTCTCTGGCAGACAGGAAAGAATCCTCAGCTGAGGACTGGGAATGCTGGAAAACCTCCAGCCAAACTCCTGTCTCCTCTAAATCCACAACTTGGCTTAGCTTTACCCAACCGACAAGCAACCTTCCTCTTACTGTCTCTAAAAGGCAAGTATGATAACCAGCGGCGTTAGCAATCCTGAATAGTGAATATAACAGTCTGGCCATCCACACACACACATACACACACACACTTAAATCACCACAGGGTCATAGCTTACAGGCTGGACACAGGTGGGACAGGGGGCGGGGGTTCAAGCATTATCCAATCCCTGGAGAAGAGTCTGCCCTGGCTGACTAGAAAAGGCCTGACTGGTGGAGCGCAGAGCTGGTGAGTCCGTCAAGTCACATGACTGGCGGACTGGTGGCGGCAGTGGCTTGCGTGTCAATGACAGTACTTAGAGTGTAGTTTGCCTTGCGGAGAGTCTAATGGCCTCATGATAACCCTGTTCACTGTGAATCTGGCACAGGATGGAGGGGAGGTGCAGGTGAGGGTGGGAGGGATTGTGGCTAAGCAAGTGTTATGTCACATGCCTGCAGCTTTTTATTTGCTGGTCTCACGGCAGCAGGAGAAAAGAACAAAAAGACCTCAAAGATGTCTCCTCTAGAATCTCTTCTTGTTGTATATTCCTACAAATATGATACTCACTTTTGTTTTGGTAGGAGACAGTCAGGGCCAGATATAAAGACAAAAATCTACTCAGATGATCTGCTAAATACATGGAATATTTATGTGAATGTAGCATGTGAAAATAGTTATTCTGACGGCATGTTTTGTTTGTTTGTAGAAAAATTAACCCATTCTGCTGAAGTTCATGCAGCTGCTTTCATCCAATTTAGTCAGTGACTCTGCCACAGTGTCTTTTTCGATACCACCACTTGGGGGCACCAAAGTCAAACATTTTCAGATCTGGCTTGAAGGTGGTTGTTTTAATTCAGTGTCTCCATCTACTTTTATGACAGACCAACATTTTTTAGGATACCTGCCTCATCTCCTTTTCACCTCATCTCCCAGAATGCTTTTCAACAACTACAGGAAAGAGGCATGATCATGTTGTTTTCAATCAAATATTGGCCTGCGGGCAAAGAAACTGAGCTACCTTGACAAAATATATGAGGCTGCATATAAGAGATATTTTGGTTGTAGATTGATTTGTCGATTCTTTTGGATAAATGAATAAATTGTTTGGTCTATGAAAGGTAAAAAATGTCCTAAAACCCAGTGTGCTGTCTTCAAATTGCTTTTTTTTGTCTGGCTAATGTTCCAAAACCCAGGAAGATTTACATATCTGATGGCTGTGATGCATTCTGGTCCATCGAGGCTACTGCTGGTGTAGAGACTGCTTTCTCACCTCCACCAGAACTAATCTCTCTCTTCGTGATTGTTGCAAAATAGCTGTTCAAGATAGAAGCCCTTGCTGTTCGATTCTTGAGGGACTGACACCACAACCCAATGTTAACCACTGATGCTACCAAACTCCCACGGCAGCTGCTGGAAATATCTGGACATGATGTCACATTTTAGCCAGTTATCTGCAGAAATAATACAGCACCAAACAGGAAAATGGAGCTCAGAGATGTAAAGTTGCATCACCAGTACCTGTTTTCTGAATCATGTTCAAGTGGATTTTTACTTTATGGGAACAGTTTGATATTTTTGGAAATACACATATTCAGTTTCTTGTTGATAAGATCAATACCACTTTGTATGCTAAATGTGAAGCTAGTCAGCAGCTGATTAGCTTAGCTTAGAAATAGTGTGTCACATAACCTCCAGTAAAACCACAAATTGTTGTTTTTACATTTAGGGTTTTGTATGGATTAAACAGACAAGACACAACATGTTAATCAGTAAGCTTTACAGGTTTTGTTACCTTTGGACAGAGCCAAGTTAGCTAGTCTTCAGCTGCTTACAGTAGCTTCATATTTAGCATTCAGGCATGAGAGTATTTCCACCAATGATAAACTGTTCTTTTAACTTCTTAAACCTGTTACGGTATGTGCATGTTAATACAGCTTCGATTTCATACACAAGGCTCACAATTTTCACTTAAGGCGAGTGAAGCTCATTCGACTATGTCGACACACAGTCAGCTGAGTTCACGTTTCAAGTCATTTGTTCAATTCCATATTTAAAAACAAAGCAAAAAAAAAAAAAATCATGGGAGTGCTTTAGTTGATTTGTCTTTTCTGTAGTGAGGGAACAGTGGTCAGAATCCGAACATGACAGCTCCAACCCATCAATATCAAATCAGGATCATTAAAATGTGCAAGCAGTGAGCTCAAAACAGACTTAGGAAAAAGAAAATGACATTCAAAGACAAAGTCACCGACAGATTTAACCCTTCGATTTAAAAAAAAAAATGACTCAAAATGGTAGGAGCTTGGGGGTGGACACACTTTTCGGGAGTGTATTTAACAGTCTTCCTCCTCTTCCTCGCAGTCTTGAGACGGTGCAGCCGGGTCAAGAGCACATTCGTTATTTATTTTTTTGCCGTGGTGTGGTCATGCTGGTACGAGCCACACGTACGTCCAAGATGTTCCCAAACCTTTCTGAAAGGCACTGCATAATCAGCCATGACTCTCTTTTGCTCCCACGCCACTGTAATCCAATCAGAGCTGGTGGAAATTCACACGCATGCTATTCAGAAGGAGGGAAGGGGAGGGAGGGGTGAAGGAGGAAGAGGAGGGCGACGAACGAAGAGCAGGCAGCTTCATTTAGCTAGAGAGAACAGCTGTTGTCTGTCCGCCTGGGAGTGCAAAACTAGTTCTGCATTGAATCAACAGTAATCAAACAGCATTAAAATGACATCAAGTAATCAACTCTACAAGAGAGGCTTGTTACAGCCTTCCTGATAAACATTCCTCTGTCCTTTCAGCAAACCCTCGCCACTGCTCTGCTCATCCTGCCTTTAGCTACTTCTCTTTTCTCTTTCCACTTTTCTTTTTCTCTGAGCTTGTGTGGAGGCAAGATCTGGGGTTGCACCAGGGGGATTGTGGAATAGGACACCCCAGAGACGATACGTCATGTCCGCTCGGGTGTTGGGGAGGAGGGTCAGGGGGGAGGAGGGTCAGGGGGGTGGAGAGTGGGGGGGCAGGGTGTCAGCTTATCCAGACTGGACTGCACAGGTTGAGAAAACTCCTGGATCGAGTTTGATAAGACCCAGAGAGGTTCCCATCCATCCCTGATGATCGATGAGGAAGTCAGAGGGTGGCGCTCCTCGCCCTCCTCGGTAGTGAGGGGGCGAGGGTGGGGCGGGCACCACAGCTTATCAGGCCTGGAGGATGGGGGAGGTCAAGGCATGGAAGGGCGAGGGACTTTAAGGGAGAGATCCATCCGAGAGACCTGCAGCACTCCTGCTGAACAGATCTTAGCTCTCTTGTGTTTTCACAATGAATGGTCTCTCTCAAGGGTCAAAACAGCAATGACAAAACAACCGAGTCTCCACGACCACATCGCAGGAGTTGGGCAACTGCCGGGTCCACAATCTGCAACGCTTGGACTGTCCAGACGGTTCCCATTCAAACATCCAAACAGCGGTAAGGCGGAGAACAGCACGGCACATCAAACCTGCAAAAGCCCGTTCCTGCTGAGTCGCTCACATCCCCAAAACCTGACTTAACTTTTCTCTATCTCCTCCACCTCATTGCGTTGCTGAGAGAGGGGCAGATTGGGGGGGCAGGGTCTCAGGGTGAAAGGTGTGCAAAAAAAGGGTGGAGGTGTGTGTGCGTGGGGGAGGGTGGAGTGTCACAAGGCCACGGCGGTGCAGGGGTGTTTGAGCTTGCAGGGCAGCACTCCTCTGTTGAGCTGGTAGAACTCCACCAGGTGGATCAGGTCAGCGAACTTGGTGGTGCCGTCGTCGAGGCTGAAGAACACCTGACCATCCTCCTCACACTTCAGACAGCAGCCAGAGGGAGGAGAGAGGACAGTCAGCCATCACATGACAACATGACATGTATACTTTTATCACTATAAGCTACTGAGAGAACATGCAACATCATCAGGTGGCAGCAGAGCAAATAGATGACCATGTAATGAAGTGCCATGCTAGTGGCGAGGCTTCAGGTATGTCAACGGCAGTTTGTTGGTTGGTCCACAACTTTCATCCAGACTGAACTATTTCAACAACTAGTGCATGGATTGCCATGAAATATAGTACAGACATTTATTATCCACCCAGGAAGAATTTAACTTTTCATCAGATCAAAATTTCAATGTGTCCAATATTTTGGTTTATGATCAAATAACTGCAAAACTCATGGCATTCCCATCAGCCTCAGTTGAACTTTGTGCAACTGTTAGCATGCTAACATGCTAAACAAGATGGTGAACATGGTAAAAATTTTACTTCCTAAATGTCAACATTTTAGCATCCTAGCATGCTAATGTTTGCATTTAATTCAAAGCTACTGTCTCATACAGCTGCTAGCATGGCAGTGGATTTAAAAACGACTATTCCATTATGGTTGAAACATTTATTAACCATTTCCCAGTGTTCACCTGTACAGTATAGCCTCAAAGTATTAGAAATCTCATATCAAGCTGATATCTCAAAACCTCTGCAAACAAAAGTTTATCTGTGACCTCTAGGGGTAAACGACAAAATGTGTTTGTTGTAATTTGGGTGAACTGGCCCTTTAAAGCATTTCAAGTTGATTTCTGCAAACAAATGGCTGCCTGGGAGGAAGGAAGGAAAACCCGATTTCAAAATCTAAAAAAAGCATTTTACATTTTGGAAAATAGTTGAATGAAAACCTTTGAGATTCATTTGGCTTTTGAGGCAATAACTGTAGTTTAGTAACTGGGATACGACATGACCTAATAAAAATGCATTTGTTAGCACAATTTTGATTTTCTGAATGAGTGGTGCAGTGATCTGCCTCTCTGTGCCCTATTGCAGTGGATTGTACCAGTGAGCATGACATTTCCTGCAGCATTTTGACTGTGTTGTGTCATGTGACTGACCAGTAGGATCTGGAAGTGCTTGATCTTCTGGTGGTGGCACAAGGTGAGCACGAAAGCCTTGGGATTACTCTGACTGTCCCGCAACAGGAATAACCTGATACACACAGAGAACACGAGTGAGAAATGTTTCAAGTGTTTGATGAAAAGTATAAAATATATAACACAACTGAACTGAAATGCCTGATGACATGCTGCTGTAGGAGTGTGACTCTTAGAGAACTTTATCTTAATCCGCTGGGTAAAGGCTAAAATGCGGGGCTTTTTTTCTTCGCAGCAATTATGTCTCTATTTTTCATATTTTTTTATTCATATAGTTCTACTTGATCCAATAATCTCCACCTGCTGCTTTTTAATGAATCTTTCAACCATGTTTCACATGAGCAATATTTATCCTGAGATAACACGGCGCCAAATCAGCCTCTCAACCTTTTCCCACTCAGCATATCGTCGTCCTTACCCGTCCACTTGGCCTTGTTGTATGATCATTTTGTGGGCTTCCTCTCTCATGATGCGACCATGAAACCATACCTGTGTCCTGTGGATCACTGGAAGACAGACAAACAATCGCTGTTTGAGCATTTTCGCAACACATAACTTCAGAATAATTTTACATCAGTGTGTTGTTTGTCTAAGTGAGAGTACCTGTGCTCAGGGAGGACGGGTGCAGGGGGCTGGGACTGCCCAGGACATTCATACGCTGGCTCCGCTTCTGTGGAGAAGAATTGACCAACATTTGCCATGAGATAACATCATATCAAGCCAGAATCTCTCAGACTAACGCTCCCCTTTGAACCAAGTCTTTTTTGTAAAAATTTTCTGTATTGCCGGGCAACTGTGTTTTATCACAGCGAGGTAAACCCACAAACATGATGTGAAGTGAGCAGCTGTGTCCTGCTCTGGCTCTATAAGCTGTGATCTCAGCAACAGATAAGTGGAGCTGCTGCACACTGAAATCTACTAAGAAAAGTGCTGGAGGGGAAAGATACATTAGTTCAAAATGGAAGACGGCTTATGCGCACTCTTTCCACGAAAAACATTTCTACACAAAATGCCTTGTGTAGTGAAAACCCTCCATAGTTGTAGGGTAACAAGGGTACTTTACCAAAACCAAATTATATGAAAGCTGATAATATATACAGTAACTAATATCTTAAATTCATCATGACACATTTGGACCTTAAATCCATGTTTGTAATCTCAACTCATCTATTTTCTGCGGATTTATCCAGCCCATAGGCCAAGCTTCATCCACCCTCCCTCTTACCCTCCAGGTCTGTCCCTCCTCCAGGGCGGCGCTCTGGGCCTCGACAGGGTTGTCGATGACGCGACCGGTCCGTCCGGAGAAGTCCATGGCCACCAAGGAGTTCTCAGATACACTCCGCTGTTAAGAGACGTGGCAGGGTGGGAGGGTAGGGTAAGGGTGGTGGTAGGTGCGGAATAGGAGGAGGGGGTGCACAAGTGGTTGGGTGAAGGGGAGGAGGGGTAGGCAAGAGGTCAGAGGTCAAACAAGCCAGACACACTCACTGGGGCATGACAAATCCTGTCTGCACACAGACCCACTTCAGCCAATCCACAAAAAGCTGCTCTGAGGAACAGCACAAGCCTCCCCTGGCTTTCTGCCTCTCCTGCTCAAATTATTCAAGGTTTCTTTTTAATTAATTACTTAGACCTCTGCCTCCGCCAAAAATAAATTCAACCAAATAGCTCTTATATATACTACTAATGCCTTTTAGAAGAAAAGCAAAAGGGTTGCCACAATCACCTGGCCACAAAAGTCAAGAATTTATAATAACATTAAAAATCTAGTGCCTTAAATTTGCCCTATTTAAGGTAAGATTTTATACATTTTTACTTATCTTTATGCCCAGTCGAAAATCATAAAAAATTCTATGGGAACACTCAAGATTTGTCATCATAATCTGTAAATTAGAGTGATTAAATTTAATGCAATCAAATTAATCAATTGGTCAATCAACAGAAAATTAATCAGCAATTATTTTGAAAATGACTGATGAAAATGAGTTATGCAGCGGCTGAGTTTTAGACAGTTGGTTTGACAAAACAAGACATTTGCAGACATCATCTTGTGTTATTTTTCGCGGTTGAGCAATGAATAAAGATTAATGTCTGATTAATTGATATCAAAGATAATTGTTGCAGCGGGTACAATGATTTGCGAGTGTGTACATACTGTTCTACAGTGGGGGAAACTTAAATGACCACGAGTCTTTAAACTAAACTCACTCCACAAGTCTAATGTTCAAAAAGTACAAAGTTTGAACAGATTCTAGAGATTTGTCACTTATTTTAACTCACAATCTTTCCAAAGGAGCTTATGGGACTTTTACCAACACCTCATGGTGTGAGGTGATTAGTCTTAGTGTAACACAGCATACAAAAATGCAGGTCTCTGTTTGCTGTGTGTTCAATCTTTTATACACCGTATGTGTGTATGAGCATTATGTAAATGTTCACCTTTGTAAATAACTCCGGGATAAGAGGTTATGTGCCGGATGTACTTTTGTTATAGCCTGCTGTTTGTTTAAATGAGCAGCCTGACCTGAATCTGGACCATAAGCCTTTCGCTGCAGAACTTCTTTCACCTCATTAACAAAGGTCAACAGCAGCAATGATCATCTGAATAGAAACTCATTTTAGTATTTAACAAATCCTTCTCATGCAAAATGCATAAGTTGTGTTTTTTCCTCTTAAGGAGAACGAGGTGGTCACCAATCAGCCAGTCACCAATGGTTTCCAATCAGCTAACTAACAGTTCAATCTGGACTGGTCCTTCGCTGACTGGGGGCATTAGATCAGGGTTGTAAGAAAGTGATGTCAGCGCAGATCCTTACCACAGGCGCTGTGAAAGGTGAGAGGTTGGACTTCCTCTGCTGGGGGATGTTGTAGCTCTGATACAGTACGATCCCATACTGCGAAGGCAGGAGAGAAGAGACTACATCAACTCATGTTTTTAAAGTGCGGACAGATTATTTAATGTTGACTTCAAGAAATGAGAATTTATCTTTTAACTAACTGGATGCCAAATAGCAGCATTTGTCAACCCTCTATGAGCTGTACAGTAGTAGTCCTCACAGCCTTGGATTTAACTACAACAACATAAAAATAAAGGATGTACTTTGAGCAGTCTGAAGGCAGTCATCCAGCAGGTCCTGCTCTGTTCGTCCTCTGCACACAGCATCTTTAGCTCCTTACAGTCGCCCCTCACTTTGCTGGGCTGTTAGACAGAAGACACAGTGGGACATTACATTAATGAGATGCACATCATGAACACGTAAGGTCTCTTTTGTGGTTTTCGGCAATTCAGTTTTCTGTACATGGAAACCCTGAACCCTGTGACAGGGCAGAGACTACAAAAGAGAAAGACAAAAGGAAAAAAAAGATTGGAAAATTGGTGGTACATTATTTGCAATCAAATACATCACATATACAATAGAGAGGTTGACAAACAACAACAAACACCCATAAAGTTGTATTTATGATCACTCTTAAAGCAAGACTACATCATGTCCAGGTAACAATTATGGAATAATGGTAAATGATAAAACAGTAGCACAGTAGGAAACTCACTAGCAAACTCACTAATCTCAATATCACTCAATATCAATATCACTCTAACGTTAGCTAACATTAGCTAACAGTAGCCACAATAATCTACTGGTCGTACCAGACCGAGTGTGTAGCAGCCTCTGAGTAAATCAAACAAAAGTGTGTTGTATTGATTGTGAATTCAACTTTTCACTTGTAGAAGAAAGAAAGAAAGAAAGAAAGTTGAATAGCCTCACTTTAACCGGCCAATGGCACCTGATAGTAACTGCTTTACTATGATTTCACCCAATCATCCATCAATTCAGTGATGCTCTCAAAGACAATAAAGTCGGCTCACACTTCTGAATGATACACAAACTTTAAGCTTGTCGACTTTCTCAGGTGTCAGTTCACAGTTAATGAATGACATTTAATTAAACTCTCTAGTGTTATATGTAAACAACAATATAATACACCCCCGCAAGCAACGACTATTCAAACATCACAGCACAGATTTTCTCCCTCCTCCTCCACCAGTAACAAGAGATGTTAGACACACGGCTCCTTAAAAGCAACCCCTACTGATAAATTCATTTATGTCGCCATAGCAACAATCCAGCCACCCCCAGCAGCAAAGTAAAATCCCGTACCCAATCCTGCACTGTCACCCCCGCTGACAGCATCTGACATACCGGCCGTCTAGTGTGTGTGTGTGTGTGTGTGTGTGTGTGTGTGTGTGTGTGTAATAGAGAGGTGAGGGAGGGGGTTAGGCGGGCCAGATTCGCTGTAACATCCCAGCTTATCCGACTGGGTTTATCCCAGATCAGCAGGTGACCCACCACAGATAACTCCTGGAGTGGGACACACAGTCCTCTGACACGCACACACACACACAAACATGCACGCGCACACACACACGCACAGATAACAGCCCGTCATCCACCTCTGATAGGATGGAAATGGATATACTGTTCCCTGTATGGGATGTGTCACTACAGATTTAAATGAAGAAAAGAGTGAAATTATCTCATCTAATCTTCAGAGCTGGATTAAATGAGTTGCTCAAGTTGCTGTGTTTCCTTGTGTGTGTGTTACCTTGATGCAGAACTGGTAGTCTGTGGGGGCATTGTGAAGTTTTCTGCCGGTGATGATGGTGAAGATGTTACTGTCTTCCAGATCTGACAGCAGCTGCAGATGCCGGGGTTCCTGTTCAGTCAGAGGAAGGCAGAGATTGATGGGGGAGGGAGAAGGATTATAGACATCTATTTTACATTTGTTCATGTTTTCTTCTGGAAATTGAAAAAAAAAGATTTGTGCTTTTTTTCTCTGTCTTTATTTTATTTTTCATTTAACAAAACATGAAATTAGAAGTTGATTTATTCTTTGATTAGACATCAGCGCTCCCTAAAGAAAAACTGGGATAAACAAAATTTTAAACAGCAGAGAAAACTTGAAAAATGCTAGTCTCCTTTACAGCAGTAATTTATCACCTTGGATGTTCCTTTAGTAGAATAGTAGAGACCCGAGCGTCGCAGGAACATGTAGAGCTTCTTCCAGGACTTGCGTCCCGGCTCCTTCATGTACAGATAGCCCTGGATCTCTGGACAGGTGCTAGAGTTCAGAAAGTTCTGGGAAAAAACACACAACAGCATCTATTGGTACCACGGTTGTTTGTGCCTTTAACATCCTTAAAACATACATATTTCTCCTGCTGTAAAATCCATTTCAAAAACTATAATGTCCATGCTCTTCTTTCTGTATTCCTAAAAATCTGGCAGTGACAACACTGGGTGAATGCAATTAGCAGATTTCAGGAGCTGTGTGTGTGCATGCATATTTTTGGATTACCAGATGTCCTCACAGAGATAAAAATCCTCCATGGTGAGAACATTTTCCTGCTTTCACTCTTTGCAGGGCAGCTACTTTAGAGTTAAGATTTAGATGTAGGATTAAATTAAAGCTGAGGTAACACTTAGGGGTTAGGTAATGAATCAAGTCTTCGCATGCATGCTATTAGAGTTGTATGTGTCCTTTCACTTAGTCATCGCCTCACCTGTAAGAGCTGTGACTGAGGAATTGAGCCATCAGACTCCTGACACCAAGCCACCATCTGCTCTGGAAAAAAGTTCTGGATGGAAAAACACACAGAGAGACCGACAATGAGCGAGAGAGAAAGAAAAGAGAGAGAAGAAGGGAGGGAAAGAGGGCAGTACTAGAAAACACTTAGTGCATATGCAAGCTCAGAGTGGGGTAGTGTTTCTCTATGCAGAATACATCTCTCGTTCTGTGTGTGTGTGTGTGTGTGTGTGTGTTTGATGAGTACAAGGACTCAGAGGCAAAGTGGTGGGGAGAGAGAGAGAGAGAGGGCACTCCAGCCTGGGAGTAGATGCAGTATGATCTCACCCGCTGATGTAATCCCCTTTAGCCAGCAGCGCTACTCTTAGCATGATTGACAGGCCGCGGCCAGCACTCTGGTGTTTTAGTGTGCTCATTACCACAGAGCTGAGGTCACCTGCTGGCTCTGACACACACCTAAATCACCACGGCAATAATGTCACCGTATACCCAGCCAGCACATAACAGCAGAGCCCCACGCTGAGTCCACATCAGCAAAAGATGCCACGCAAGCTGGCTAACACTGACATGCTGGCTGTCAGAGGCAGGTTTGTGTCTTTAAAATGATGAACAGCTTTGCATTTTATTTTTCAGCTCATGTTCCCATCCAAAATGACTCGAAATGGGTGCAAAAGTAGAATGAGCTTCAGCCTCTACATCACCAGAAGGAGGGCAGAAATAAAACATAGTGTGACCACAGAGAGCCCAAACAGTGAGAGACAACACAAAGAGTGCATTGTGTACAAAGTTAGACTGATATGGGACAATACTGGGCTTTTACTAAATATGAACAATGATTCACTCTGTCTTGATAAAAAAAAAAAAAAAACGGGATGAAAATTATATTAGTTGTGGAATTGATCAGTAGATCAGTATACTACAAAAATACTACAGAGCTTTGATCAACAGAAGAGAGCATGAATAACATTCAGTGCTTTTAGCTAGCTAGACGTTTTCTCCTGGGGAAGGTAATATCTGTCTGTCAGTCACTATAATGGTGCAGATCAAAATATCTCAGCAGCTGTTGAACAGGTAGCGGTCAAATTTTGTACAGACATTAATGGTCCCCAGAGGCTGAATCCAAGACTTTGGTGATCCCTGACTTTTAATCTTGCGCCACAATGAGGATTGCCATTATATTTGTCCAAAACTTTCCCATCAGCCTCAGCTGCATGTCAAGTGCTAACTAGCAAATGTTAGCATTGTAACACACTAAACGAAGATGGTGAACATGGTAAACACTATACCTGCTAAAACATCAGCATGCTAGCATGGTCATTGAGAGCGTGTTAGCATACTGATGTTAACATTTAGCTCTGTCCTCGTTTCACCTAATAAACTCTACCTTGTAATGAACAAGACTATCCTTTACCTTCTTAAAAGTCACTTTCTTCTGGTTGTCTGGCTTTGAAAATATCACATACTACTGAGAGTAGTGCTAATTTCCTGTTAAAATGAAGCCAAGTCAAAAGTTGACAACAACATTTAAATATTGTTTTTTTTATATATATCATCTGTCCCTACAAAAAACCATAATGGCTATACTGTGTAGCCTACTGTAGCAGTGTCATAACTGAGTGGATTCTCCTGTTTAGTGCTAATTTGCAAATGTTAGCATGATAACATGCTAAACAAAGATGATGAACACAGTAAACAACATACCTGTTAAACATTAAAATGTTAGCATTGTCATTTATTGTCATTCATGAGCATGAAACATGACGACATAAACATTTAGTTCAAAGCATCTTTGTGCCTACAATAGGCTGACCAGATGTCCCTGTTTTTGTTGGACTGTCCCCAGCTGGAGCTGTCCCCAGAAATGTCCCCGTTTTTAATGTTTGTAATTAAAGCAGACGTCTAGCATTGCACTTATTTCAGCCAACAGAGGGGGCTGGCTGCGAGCTATAGAAGTGAAGCTAAAACCATCAAAATAGACTTATCCTTTTTGTTATCTCTAGGCAGAGAAAATGTTAGCTGGCTCAGTCATTGGGTAGGAGTTCATAACCAGCCTGGCAGTAAATTAACAAAAACAAACTAACAACACACTGCAAACAAACTTCACGACTGCTTCAAAGTCAGGGAGTCATCATTTTATCAGTAAGCCTTCACAATAGTTTATTACAGTAAAACAGTTACCATGGTCAAAATAAATGACATATATTGACCACCAAACTGGAAATGTCCTCAATTTTCATTTCGTGGCTGTAAGACTCTCAGACATGTAATTATAAATCAAGATTTTGTGGAAATTGCGATATTTTTGATGCTACAGAGGGTTTGTCACATCACCCAGAAAAAAATATTTCTGTATCCTGGAAACACTGTGCATGAGTGCCTGTAGTTTTTTGTCTAAAATTTCAGCATGAAATTTTAGCTATCAGCAGCTCCAATCCAAAAATATCAAGGCCGGAAAATCGGCAGCAGAACAGCTGTGTGTGAGTGTGTGTGTGTGTGTGTGTGTGTATGTGTGTGTATGTGGGGCAGTGTGTGCGTGGGGCTGCGTGCTAAACCGAAGCAGTCAGAGAAAGGTCATTTCAGGGATGCGAGAGACTCACCAGGGGGTTCCTGAAGAATTCATATTTGGCATAGTTCTTCCTGAAGAGGAATTTACTGTCGCTGCTCATGGAGGCTTGAACCTGAACCACCAGCTCATGGTCCTCCAGACACCTCTCTGTATGAAGACACACACACACACACACACACACACACACACACACAGGCTGTTAGTCACCTCAACTGTGTCATCTTTGAGTTGTCCTCAGGGATGGACTGTGAGGGACACAGATTTTTTTTTTTTTCTTACACAGCTTTAGGGCTCATTATTTTTATTTCAAGGACATAATTTATTTGTATTTGAATATTAAACACAGGTGGAAATTGGGTGGAAAAAAATCAATACAAAAAAGTTTCACTGTTCATTGTTCTTTTTTAAATAATGTTTAGGGAGTGGCTGATCTGCAGCTTAAAATGCAGCTCTTTAGCATGCATTTCCTCACTCTCTTTTTAATACTGAAAGCATATTCTGAAATGTCCTTGTCACCAAAGGACCTTGTTTAGTATAAACTGCTTTCAACAGTGTCCTCTGGAAGCAGGAAACAGCAACTTTTTGATGTGCCAAAACATAAAATCCCAGTGAAAATCAGTTTAAATTGATGTTGTTTGTTTAAAAAAAAAAAAAAGGTTTAATTTAAGTGGATAATTGATATGATTCATATAAACGGGAGATAATTAGTCTTTTAAACCTTTTTGCAAAAATAGAGTGTCATAGTAAAATCATAGCTGTGAATGCATTATACACAGCATGTTGTATGATAATTGAAATTAAGCATAAACGCAAGCATTACTGAGAATGCAGTTAACGTGTGTTCAGATATAAGAGATATTTTTTTTGGTATTTTTTTGTCTATCAAAATGATCACTGACTTCAGGCCACTTCTTTATTTTTCACTAAATCACACACTATTGTATACAATGACACAGCAAGAAAAATCGCCTGTTACTAAGAGACAAGCAAGGGAGTAAGAGGTTAAATGAGGAGGGGCTGTGAAAAGAAGAAGCACTGTGATTCAGGGAGGGAGGAGGTGAAGGTGGAGAGAAGAAGTGGCATGAGATGGGGGGGGGGGGATGATGTCATGTATTTACGCTGATTGCTGAGAGCAGAGAAGCCATAAGCAAAGTACAAGCCACAGACAAACACACAAGCACACATTAAGAGCTCACACAGACCTAACCTGCTCACTGTGCACCACAGAGGCCCAATTACTTTCTCTATGTGTGTGTGTGTTGTACTCTTTCTTGAAATTGAGGGCATATGATCTCAGAGTGAGGCCGATTAGAAATTGATTGTGACAGGATGTTCCAGTTCTGGATGGACACACATACACACACACACACACATGAAATGATAGCAAGCAGGGTTTAACACTAATTCTCCCTTCCAGATTAACTCGCATAGTCTTGCTTTATTAAGGCAAAACACACCCATACACACACACACACTCGTACACACACATTTCGGTGAAACCGTGGACACTGTTTTTGCTAAAAATAAAAAAAATAAAAAAAGGATTCTCTCTGCATTTTAGAAGTGGAAATGTCTGGAGTCTGTGTGTGTGTGTGTGTGTGTGTGTGTGTGTGTGTGTGTGTGTGTGTGTGTGTGTGTGTGTGTGTGTGTGTGTGTGTGTGTGTGCTGGCTGCAAGCAGGGGAATTTCCTGTGGAGGGTTAAGAAAAGATTGATTGGCTAGGAAGGCTAGGGGCTCGTCCGACGGAGACCCACGATTGGTTCTTTGCAGCTCTGGTATGACGCTTTAGTCCAGACCTCTCCGCCCTTCCCCCCCTCTCTCTCTCTCTCTCTCTCTCCCTCTCTTCCTCTCTTCCTCTCTGTCTCTCTTTCTTTCTCCCTTCATCTCTCTCTCTCTCTCTCTCTCCCTCTTTTCCCCTCCCTCCCTCTCCTCACCTCACATTCCATCTCTCCAGTGCACTTTTTTCCAGAAACGTAGATCAAGCAGCAAAACACAAAGTGATCCTTTGACTCTAAAATTACAACTCGGGTGTCGGAAAGCCTCATTGAGGACAAAGACGGACGCAGAGAAAAAAAAAACAAAAACATACAGGTTCAACAGGAGACATGGCAAAAGTAAAGTGTGTTATTCCTTTTTTTTTTCTTCTTCTTCTTCACCCCTCCTGAGCGAATGATTTGGGAGGGAGCGGGCATGTGAGCAGAACACGGAAAATACTTAATCCTATGACCGCCACACCTCCCTACCCGAGCCCTATAGAAGGCATACAAGCACTCGTGCCATGCTCAAGTGAACATACACACTGAGAGTACACACAAGAGAGTATCCCCACCCATGCAGAGACCCACAAAAGAAGTATAGACACACACACACACACACACACACACATACAAGACTGAAACACACCTGCAGAAAAGACCCTCCTAAAGATACTAGAATGCAGTGGAAGGCAAACCCACCAGAGAGCCGTGGCCTTTCAAAGAAAAGCAGAGTAAAACTGAGTGCAGTATCACTGATGTGACAGATTTGGCCTCAATGGAAGTTGTAACGCTTTCTAACCATCTTTTCATAACCTGCTACATCGCTGCATATACACGACGTATTAGCAGAGACACTCAAAATAAGAGTTGATCCTTGCAAAAACAAAAAAAAAGAACAAAAAAAAAAGACTAAACAGTGCACCAAGTCCACACCTGGATCCACATATACACACCGACACATCCTTACCAAGGCCGAGGATGGGGTGGTGCTCCACCAGCGCCCAGGCGTTGTCGTCCAGACAGTGGCTCTTGTAGACCAGGAGCTGACAGACGTCTCTGGCCGTCATGTCTGCCGGGATCTCCACCACTTTACCAGCCCCATCCTCGCTCCACACCTTCACTATCTGAAAATATATACATGAGAATAATGATGGGGATATATGCACATGACAGCAGGGAAATGTCATGTTGTTACTTGGCTGAAAACAGTGAGACAGTGAGAAGGCGTTACATGTCCCGAGTCGCTTTCGGGAATTCAAAACTGCGAATAAAGACGAAGAGTGGAGCAGGTCTGCGGTTACATTTACCTCCATAACCAGGTGCTTTATGAAGTCCACCTTTAAAAAGTCCTGTTCACATTCTGTCATCGCAACATGAGCAACGCTTAAAAAAAAAAAGAAAAAGAAAGAAAAAAAAAAAGAAGAGGAATGATGACGTCCAGGAAAGGTCGGCTGGCCCATGCGCTCTCAGCTCAACCCTTTTGTCCACAGCTCAACCAAACTTACTAACACGCACTTCCACGAATATGCGTGTAAACCTGCTTGCGTACAACCCACAATGACACGTTTTGTGTCGCATGCAAAGAACGTCCACAGTCAGAAAAACAGAGAAAACCACATTTTCACACTTGGACAGTGAAATAACACGGTGGATTTACACATGTTGCTTTTTGTCTCCTAAAACTGTCACCGCCGGGAACAGAGAGCGGGTACAGTTCTGAGCCGGAGTAACTTCCATTGTTGCGCCATTTTGAACCATTTCAGCCAAGTGTCCAAAGCAACATTTAAAATCGGCCGTAATTTTGCCTTCTTCAAGTGTGTTGCTGCACAGATAACCACAGACCAGCTGCTTCACACCACTGTATGAGCAGATTCACACACACACACACACACACACCATGGTGAGCTCGCTCTCACACGCAGCGTAATACACAAACACACACATAGATATGAGAGAATGAGGACCGGAAAGTGAGAAGGAGAGGAATTGTCTGTGCATGTATGTTTGTGCGTGTATTCTCACGCACCCATGTACTTAACATTTTCTGTCCACAGCAGGGATTCTGCTTCCCTGCACTTCACACAAAACCCGCCGGGGAACAAATGTTGAAAATTACATGAAACAAGACACAAAGCTGGTGATGGGCGAGCGCCTGGAGGGGTGGGCATGGAAAATAAAGTCGAACAATGGCAACCGAGAAGTGGAAACACACGAAAACACCTTAAAAAACGACAGGCAACGGTGGCCTAGAAATGACACAAAACACCAGAGGCACCAGCACAGCAACGCTGAGATAGAGACTCCGATTGCAACCAGAAACAACGTCACAGCACTCACTACCTCTGCAAAGCCAGAAGACTCCCTCGTCTCTTCCCACACGCCCCCCGTAAAAAAGAAAAAAAAAAAAAAAAAAAAAAAAAAAAAAGTAAATTCATGACGCATGAGCTTTGTGTGAGAAAAGTTTTAGAAACATCGAGAGGGAGAAATGCAAAGGTCCTCATCGCTGCAGACTGGTAACAGTCACACACACGCACACACACACACATACATCTACACTCACACACATACACACACACACACACACACAGACCTCACGACAGTCATCCAGAAAAGAAACGAACACACACACACGCACACACACACGCACGCACACACACACACACACACACACACACACAAGTCTCTTACCTCCACAGCCTGAAAGAGGCAACAGTCTGGAGAGCAGGATGGCATTTTCACACTGAGACGCTCTCCAGTGACACAGAGAGACAGAGAGAGAGAGAGGAGAGGGAGGGGAGGAGGAGGAGGAGGAGAGGGAGGGAAGGAAGTCAGGAAGAGAGAGAGAGGGAGAGAGAGAGAGAGGGAGAAAGGGAGAGAGAGGGAGGGACAGATTGGCAAGGAGAATGCAAGAGAGGTAAGAGGGAAGAGGGGGAAGGAGGGAGGAAGTGACAGAGGAAGGACGAGAGGGAAAGAGAGACAGAGCGAGAGAGAGAGAGAGACAGCCTGCCCCTTCTTCTCGTGCTGGGCAGCATAAAGGCTGAGCTGCGAGGAGTGGTATGAGCCACCCCCCCCCACACACACACACACACACCCCCCCTTCTCCTCACACTGGATTAACCCAGTGTGGGATTTTTAAACGGTGAGCTGATACCTGTCACGTACTCTACACTCTTATCTTCAGGGCTGTGTTCAAATCCCTTTATCCCCCCCCCACCCCCCCAAAAAAAAAGAAAAAGGAAAAAGAAAAAGAAAAGAAATCACTGTCCGGTCCCTTCACTGATAGCGTCGCACGAAAACTAACAGTCTTTCTCCCCAAAACACGCCCACAACTCTCCACACACACACACACACACACACACACACACACACACACACACACACACACACACACACACTCCTTATTCTTATGCATCCACTGACATTTTCTTTGAGCTGCTTGACGGTTTCAATTTCTACCCCCCCATCCTCCTCCTCCTCCTCCTCCTCCTCCTCAGCTGTATGTGAAATACTATGCGAGAGTGTTAGGACCAGGGCAACATGTGTAACACACACTGATGGCTTCAAGGTTTGGCAAAGGCGGGCAGCTTGAACGTCTTTAAAAAAAAAGAAAAAAAAAAAGGAAAAGAAAATGGTGGGATGATTCGATCTGAAGCTGTATGGATCACGTGTCGGGAGTTTGGGCTTTGCTGAGGGGGTCAAGGGAGGGGTAGGTAGGGAGGGAGGGGGGAGTGGGGGGGGGGGGGGGGGTGGTGCTCAGCAAATTCTGCCCAGCCTCAGGAGAGCGTAGACAGAGAGAGGGAGAGGGAGATAAAGAAAAAGAAGGGGGGGGGGGGGGGGGGGAAGAGAGAGAGAAAAGAGCGAGAGCTATGGAGGAATGTCAGTAATGCAATACTGAGTCATAATCAGGCTCATGTGTAGAGCGGAGGCCAACCCAGCTGGCCCCTAATACAATGTGCATGAGAACTA